AAATAATATTTTTTAGTAATAATAAAAAATTTACAAGGTAATAAATATATTTATAATAATAATAATATATTTATAATTAAATAAACTAAGTAAAATGAAATTAGTATAAAAAGAAAAGACAAGAAAAAGACAAAAACACAAAAATGAAACAAAAAAAGAATGATTACATAGGGAGATAGGGGTGCCATTAGCCTCCCCAGAGGTTAATGACACCCCTATTTTTTACTTATGGCACCCTTATTCATAGGTTTAATTATGATTGTTTTTTTTGTGTTTTTATTATTTTTATTTTTTGTTTTATTATTATTTAAAGAAAATTTTAATTAATATATCTTATTCATTTTTTTTATATTATATTTTAATTAATATAATAATAAATGTATATTTTTATAGTATAAATTCTTAATATATGTTATTTATTTTATTTTCTGTTTTATTTATTTATTTATATTATATCTATACTATCTTATAATGCATTTGGCTAAAACTCTTAAACTCTTAATCTCTTAAACTCTTAAAAACAACATTTATTGCTAATGGTACAACCTATTAAAGCAATCCCTAAACCCGTTCAAATCAAAAACCCTATCCTATTTCATGGCCAAACGATCTCATCTCCAACAGAAACCCAATTCCCGAAATCGGATTTCATCACCAACAGGAACGATTTCATCGCCCTGACCCAATTCAATTTCATAAACCCTAAACGATTTCAGGCAAAATCGTTCCCCATCGCTTTCGCTCTCACCCTTCAATCCATCGCTCCATCGTCATCTTCTTCAACCTTCAATCCTGCCTCCAATGTCGTTTTCTTCAACCTTCAATTCTGCCTCCATCGTCGTCTTCTTCAACCTTCCAGGTAATTCTGTTTAGGGTTCTGTCCATCTCGTCTTCTTTCTTCTTGTAAGCTTTTGCAGACTTTTGGGGTTTGATTATTTTTGGGGGTTAGTGTATCTTTGGTGATTATTTTTGGGGGTTAGGGCATCTTTCATATTGACTTCTTTGGTCCATTGTATTTGAAGGCATGCTCTATTAGAGGGTTCCTAGGGTGCCGATTCCTTTTATGTATATCTTGCATTGTTATGACAAAATAGAAACCAATCCGCATTACTATGTTTGCGACCTTAACATAACTTTTGCTTACATGGGGGAGCAAAACTCCACCTATTGGTTTAATTGCTTACTTGATTTTGATCTTTATGTGACTGAATATGCATACATGATTCTGTTTTGGTTGCTCTATTTGATTAAGATTTATTGCTGTTTCTAGAGTTATTTTGGTTGATGTTCGTCTCTACCGGTTTACTGTAGGTGCTTAAACAACCTCATTCCAAATTAGAGAGGCATTTTATGTCTTGCAATTATAAAAGTCCGACAATCACGTCCTTCAGTGCATGTAATGGGTAGCCAGAATGCTTGGAGAAAGTAACTGACAGAACAGATGGATGTTAGGGGCCGTTTACCAAACGCTTACCCGGGTAAGCGATTACCAAATCACACTACGTCACAGTAAGAGCTTGCCGGGTAAATTGTTGGATACAATGTCGTTTTGGTGGACCAAAATATTACCCGRTAAGTAAATAATAGTGTAAAATTTTACYGRTAWGCAYTTACCGGATAAGTGTTTGGTAAACGGCCCCTTAGTGTAATAGACCCACATCACAGGGGCACTGAGTTTTCAACTCAAATAAATGTCATGAATCCTATTTAGTGGATAAGTGTTTGTTACAAAGTGCTTATTTATGTGCATATACATTTATCATAGTGGATACTTTGTAATTCTTTTGCTCAATGCTAACTGCTTCTGATGTTTTATCATTTGCAGAGAGAGCAAC